GAAACCAATTTGACAATAAATTTCATGTATTGAAAAAAAAAAAGAAAGAAAGAAAAAGTAGAACTCAATACTTCAGAGACCCCTGTGGCTTGGACCCATGTCAACTCTCTGGGGGAGGGTCTTGCTGAGCAATGGCAGGGTACCGGCTTGCCTCCGAAAATGTCCATGCAATCACTGAGCAGCAGCAGCTCTGAGATTATAGCAAATCACAACACACAGCTGGTGTCAGGTGTTGCCACACCCTGGCCTCTTTAGGTCTCAATACCAGCAAACATGGCTGCTCTCCGGGGTCCACTGGGACCTATGGGAAGAGGTCCTATGGCCTCTACCAGATGCACAGTGAGAGCTAGTCTTAAGTCAAACAGATGGTAGTTACAACTTCTTAAAGAATGCCAAATCAAATAGGTCATCTCATTTATTTGTAAGATACCTTCCTCTTGTGTAGATTAAGTATTAAAATAAAGTTAAACAGGAAGGAGGGAAGAAGGAAAGCAGAGGCAGGGAGAAGGAGGAATAGAGGAAGAAGGGAGAAAACAATATTCTAACCTATTTTTGGTCTTTGTAGACTGTTCTCTTCAGGGTCATCCAGAAAAGCCGGCATGTAGTTATTCAGTTCTGACTGAAGACAATGAACCAGATATCTGAAAATATGTGAACAATTTTAATAACCTCAGCAGGATGCACTGCCATTGTCAGACAGGGCATCACAGACGAAACAGTTTACACGTTCCATAACATTTTCCATTTAAAATATAGTTTTACTCTCAGGATTCTTGAAACATAGCTCAATAACCTCATTTTACTAAATCAACACATCTGGCATGTATTTATGCTTCTTGATATTCATCTCCAGTTAGGGTAAATAAAAACCTTTAAAAAATCTCTAAGGAATAGTGTAATCTCCAAGAACGTGTTCCTTACTTAAACGCCATTTGAACCAAGTGTGCTAAAACATCTTGGGCGTCCAATGTGATTCGACTAAGATCTCGGTCCTGCTTAATGAAGTTGAGAAGCTCAGATGCATTGGCCATCCAGAAAGCAAGTGCCCCTGCGATATTCTTCTGTTTCTGTAGATAGAACACATTCCTATAAGCAACCCCAAGACAAAAAAAAAAAAAAAAAAGAATGAAAATAAAAAGGAATGCTCTTGAAAAGCTGCTGAAGATAGACCAGTACCTTCCCATTTTCACCAAGGTATTTACCACAGATACCAGATACTTGCAAAAGAATTTGGATACATATATAGCAATGGAATTGCAACCTCTTCTTGGGATTCATGTATGGATACATGGATCCGATTAGCTACAATGCAAAAACAGAGATACCAAATCATACAACACCCAATTGGAGATCGTGCTTTATCTGGTAATCTGTGAAGTACACACGCATCTATCCATGGTTACCCACAGCCACCCTGATACTCGCAGTCGCTGGCTGAGATGCCGAGCAACTCAGTATCAAGTACTGATCTATCACATCATCTCCCGACCACATGTGCAGGCCAGGCAACTTCAGATGAGATCCAAAGAATAGGAACCAAGGATAAACGAGAAAGAGGAGAAACAGAACTTTTGTCATTTCATATCCACACTGAGTGCATTAAGCAGAAATTATGAAATGCTGATAAAGGTTGCACAGTCAGAAAAGGATTTAGTACTGCATGTTTCAGTTGCTGAATGAGTGTTATGAACCGCCCAGTCCGCTTGCTGGAGTGTTGTGTTTTGACATGGAAGCAGCGCGAGAAACTCAGCTAAGCCGACACAGCCAGGACCAGTTCCCAGCAGCGCATCCTACCTGATCAACCTGGTCTACTTCCTGGAGAGAAACAGACGAGGGGAAATCAAGCAGAACGAGAGAAAGAAACTTGTAAACAATCATGATAGTTTAAAAAAATCAAAACACTAATATGAAGGCACGACATGAAGGTACGACATTTAGTTATGTTATTCCCAAATTACACATTCATTCACGGTTGGGAAGCATCTCTGGAAGTACGTGACATAAAGGATTAGTTTTATGTTCTTAGAGTGGCGCAAGTGAGCGACCTCCAGTTTATACAGGGAAGGTGTTATGATATACACACAAACACACTGATCTACTTAAAAGATTTATAACACAAAGGACTTAACGTCTTTTAACGATATTGTGTGTCTGACTAGCTAAAGGTACACGAGAAGAGTGTCTATCCCCTGGATTAATAGGATGAAAGAGACAGAAAAGACCAACAGTAAAAAACAAAATGAACAAAAAAACTAAGAATTAAAAAATGTATAAAAAACATAACCATACTAAAATGGAACAAACTCGTTTCTGAAAGGTTTTTACGAATTAAAGCATTTACTATAGTTCTTTCCCAAAATTTTAGGAGTTCTCTAATCACAGATTAACCCTAAATCTGAAGTTTAAAAGACCTGTTTTGATAATGATGATCTCACTGACTAGTTCAAATTCAACAAGACAAAGTCTATCAAAAGTAGTCTGATGACAGGAGTTTCCCCAATTGGAAGCAGGCTTCAGAAATGCAAACATGACGGAAGACAATGGCTTTGAACCAAAAGGAAATCCATGTTTGTTTATAAATTACTAAGAGAGAAACACAAAATGGTATCCAAATAAAATGACAACACTTTTTATCTACTTCCTCACTTGGGTAAAAGAATCATAAGCCCATTACATTCTTATGCTAACCACTCAAACCTAATAGAAACATTTCTTGAAAAGTTGTGGCCTTTGACAACAATTCTCAAGGAATTAACAGATTAGTTAGCTCAAGCTATCCTCACAGGAGAAAAACAACCCAACTGTCTAATCACATTGCTTAATGATACATAATTAGAGTTTTATATTTTATAGCTGAATAATAGCACTCATCAGGGGTTTGGGAAAACTTTTTAAAAAATCTGTAAATTTACTTCTAAGGACTTTAAATCTTCAAATTGTGATCTGGCAAACTGCTAGGCCAATTTGATCCACCACAGGTGAGGACGACTTAAAAAGAAACAAACCATTCTACAGAGAAAATACCCTTACTTCTTCAAACTTCCAAAACAGTCTTATGAAGGAATCTGAACAGGACTTTCATCATAACTGAGAAATGTCATGTCCATCACACCTACCCAAGTGCTATCGAAAAACCCAGAGAGTTCCCACCAGCATCATATGCTCCTTATAAAAAGGGCAAATGCCTCTGTAGAGCCCTTACACAATTCTGGGCGGGGGAGGGTTATGAGGGAAGCAGCTGAATGGGCGGACAGGAATTGGGTTGGCTGACAGAGAAGTTCTGGAATCAGAAGGGGCGGCCGCACAACACTGAACGACCTAAATTCTACTGAATTAGTAGCTTTAAAATGGGTAGTTTTACCTTCCTGTGAAATTCATCTCAACAAAGTGTCTTTTAAGTCTAAGAAAACCCACAAGTGTCAGTACTTTCTCACAACTATTGCACTTTTAAGGATTTTTACCCTGCTCATAACGTTACCACGTAGTTTACTTTCCCTTATTCTAACACTTGTAGAAAAAAACAGACGTTTACGTTCCTTTTCAACTTTTCAAGCTCTACAGTTTTCAGTGCTACTTCTAATAGCTTTCATTTCAGAAAAGCCTCTCAAAGTCGAACACGTAAGCACACGGAGACACGGCGGAACTGGCTTCGCCGACACATGCGAACAAGAAGCACGCGCACTGAAGCAGCGGGGCCCGGCGTGCTGGCGCTTACCTGAATCACCCCCTCCATCATGCTCACCATCTTGTTGACTATGGCAATCACTTTGTGAGTACGCTCTGTAGGACTGACATCGGGTCTGTACTGGCTCGACAATACATACCGACATGCCATATATAATACATATGTAGGTGACAACTTAAAATGGACTGTAGAGCTATTAGTATAATTTATAATGGCAGATAAAAATGAATCTTCAGCTGTGAAAAGATTTCAAAAAAGAAGAAAAAGAAAAAAAGAACAAAAAAAAAACCCATGAAAATCAGATGGAGAAAAATGGAACAAGAAATAATTCACTAACAATGGAATCTGAAATTACTCACAACTTTCCCTGAATTCAATGCTTGCAGGCAGTATGAGTTCAGGCCCAAGAGCATCCTGAGTTCTGAAAAAAGAAAGAGGCCGCCTCTTAACATCAGATCACATGGCTACTGACAGTCAACCTATGCGTGTTTCTGCAACTATTTTCAAAATCTCTACACGGTTCGTACACATAATAAAGAGCCCAATGACTTGTTTTCACATGGAAACCATTCAAATATGCAGATGAGCGTACTGGGAGTGATCCTATCCCTACACCTAACGGAGGTCGGTTCCTTGCAGTATCTGCTTCCATCGAGAGAACAGACCCGACCACGATTCTCTATTATGCATGAAGACCGCGCACAGCGGGGCGACCAGGCTGCCGCGCACCTGCCACGGCAACGGCTCGAGTAACAATGCAAAGACGCTGCTGGGAGACACAAAGGAAAACTAAACCACAGTGAGCTTGAAACTGAGCTCTTACAAAGGAGAACAAGTTGCTAAGAGCCAGACGCTGCCCTTCTCTTCTGATAAAGGTTACCCAAGACGATTCCTACAGACCCTTTCGGTCGCTCAGTATTAGCATTTCTCAAGCTCACAGTGAAGCACACCTTTAAAAAAAGAAAAAAAAGGCCTCCTACTCACATTTTTTTTTAAAGTCACATAAATTCCACTTGTCATCATCTAGCCTGACACTACAAACACAAGGAATTGCCAAGAAATAGAAACCAAGAGCAACTATAATTGGTAACCCTTGTAAGAATTCGCACTAATGTTTATGTGTTTCTAGGCATCCCGATCAAAGTAATTCAGAGGTTAGGTACATTTCGGTTTCTCTAAGAGTTCTTCAAATAGCGGGTCACTCTGTCCCCACGGGTAGGATCAAAGGTTCACGGTCCTGTGAAAGTCTCCTTTCAGTATGAATACATGCATATGGAGGTTATGTGTCCACCAGACACGATGTAAAATATGATTGATTCTGTGTTGCATATTGGTCAAACAACGTCTGAAAGCCATTAATAAGCACAGAATTTCTACAATGTGTAAGACGAGTAGTTACCAATCCGATTTAGACCTCCTCACTGCTGCAGTTACACTGTTCTCCACAGCGTTCAGTTTAGTTGTTCTTTCGCGCAGACACGGGATTCGAATCTCAAGCAATTTAATTATTACTCTAAGTTAGTCTGCTACTAACTACATTCTGTGTAGAACACAGGTAAGTCCCGCTGCCCTAACAAGCTGGCAAGTGATCAGGTTCCTTAAGAGTTTAAACCTTTATCATTTTAGCTCGGCTTTAACAGAGACGATCAGGATAAATCTTCCGAAAATCTGTCCTCGACTAGATGAAGGAAATTGACAGTAAAAGCAATGAACCGTGTCGCGTCTTTCCACCAGCTTGACTGAAGAGTAAAGAGTGAGGCTATGAGGACTCAGACCAGGAGGGAGACAACTACTGAGGTAAATACGGATCAAACAACCGGGAGGTCAATATTCACATGAAGCGTCACATTTGCTGAAGCAGAGCATCAACATCGCCGTTGATATTTAAGAACCTGTGAGGAACTGAAAGGACATTTTCAGCAGCAACCGCTCACGCATCTACCCTGGACGTAACAACTTCTTCAAAAATGAAGAGAAGAGGGAAAGAACGTGTGGTGGCTGCAGGTCTCCGCGGCCACAGACCAAGTGGCTCCTTCCCGCAGGCCCGTGCTCCCCTCCCGCCCCTGCGCACTGAGGCCTCGACCGGGAGAAAATCCAACGCCATGACCCCGAACTATCAGAATCACTAGAAGGAAAAACAAAATTCTTTTCAACAAATTACGTGCTTCAAAACTTCTTACCTAGTCTGTGATCTGGGATTTGGATTTAACTCGACAATGCAGGTACAAAAAAGCTCTTCAGACAGAATTTGTATGCTCAACTATGTTAACAAGTCTCCTAACTGCCACACATACAGACAGCGAAAACTGCAGAGATCTTTCAGTTCATTAGTTAAACAATAAACTGGGTGAACCTCACTTGTCTGTTTCATCCATTTGAGAAATCTGGTAAAAATAAGGAATATAAAATCTCACTGAAAAAGTAAACGTGTCAGTGGTAATTTAAAGAACTCCATTATTCAGGGGCGCCTGGGTGGCGCAGTCGGTTAGGCGTCCGACTTCAGCCAGGTCACGATCTCGCGGTCCGTGAGTTCGAGCCCCGCGTCGGGCTCTGGGCTGATGGCTCGGAGCCTGGAGCCTGTTTCCGATTCTGTGTCTCCCTCTCTCTCCGCCCCTCCCCCGTTCATGCTCTGTCTCTCTCTGTCCCAAAAAATAAATAAATGTTGGAAAAAAAAAAATTTAAAAAAAAAAAAAAAAAAAGAACTCCATTATTCAAAAAGATTTTTTCCTTGACTAAAACTAGTGTTTTTAAACATATTTATTAAAGTAACTTCGGTTTTTACGAATATACCAATGAAGTGTTGCTTATGCCCACACTGTAGATGTGAAATACAAAGACTGAAAGTAGAAGAATCAGGTTTCCATCATGCTGTAACACCAACCAAATAATACGTATTTATAGGTCAAGTAAAACCTTTAGTGAAATCTTTGCCGACAGGATAAGATAAATTCTAACATACAACTGGCCATCATCTGAATCCTCTGACACCGTATTAATATACAGTTTACAGTGCTAAACATCTTATTCTAGAATACGCCACCAGAAACAAGCACACAGAAAGTAGACTTATTACTACATCTAAAAACATTCACAATCAACAAAATTCTCAAAACCAAAAGCCCACAATAAAAACAAGGTAAAAACCTGAGATTTCCACAGGAACCTAGAAATCGCATTACTGTGATAAGTGGTATTAAAGTCTTATAACACACAGCGCCCTCTACTGGAAGGCAGAAGATTAAAGAACCAAATCAGCTGCCTGTCACCAAATTGGTAAGTGACCTTGGGCCAGACATGGGCCTCAGGTATTGGATCTGAAAGAGAAGAGTTAGAATGGCTTCATGAAAAGTTTGAACAGATTTTTGGTGGGCGCCTCGGTCCCCCTGCTGACACCAGCATGCATGGTACGAGGACACAGGAGTGGTCTTCCGGCCGCCGTGTCCGTGTAGATGCCTCTGCAGAAGCGCTCTGCGGCTCCAGCTCACCAGCATTTGAACTCATCACTGGTTATCTGAGGCACTGACGTTACTTTTCAACATTTAAACAATTTTAGAAATCGCAAGAAAGAATTCTAATTAAGGTAACGTGTACTTACAAATCCTAAGAAAAGGAAATAACAAAAGGCAGACGTTCTCTCTTCAAGAACGAGGACAGGCGACAATATTCATCCCTATCCGCCTCGGCACGAAGACGTGCCACGTCAGAGCGGGAGACGTGGTAACATGGCGCTCGTAATTCTTAACTCCACTTAAAATCGTTTTTGGCTTTTAACATGTGTATTTAAACATGTAAGGATTTCATCTACAAACAGGTGAAATGGCCAGTTGTAGAGTGTCTTAATACACAAATGATCAAATATTAAACTCCTGTAAAAACTTCCCTTCTCCTTGTTTTTATAGAATAGCACATTTAAAATAGAAGCATTTTTAATTCAAAGTGCCTCCTGCTTCACCTGGGCAGACGGCACCGTGGCACAGAAGCAAGGGACACACACAGCTGCCGACGATGCCTTTTCTTCCAGTTCAGCAACACGAACAGAAAATCCTCTTCACAACACCGCTAACGTTCTCAAAACGTCAGCTAAACCCTCAGCAGTCACTAGGCCATCCCCCAACCCTCCCCCCCGCGGGCGGGGCGCCCCGGGGGCCCAGCCGCCCGCCCCCACCCCCCCGCAACCCGTCCGAGTCCCACCCGTCTGACTGCACAGGAACCACGTCCTACCTGTTTTCTTGCCGGCGGTAGTCCTGCTGCTCCAGTCTCAGCATCGGCTTCACTGTCCCGCGCTCGGCCGTGCTGGGGGCAGGCAGTGCCCTGTCGCTGTCCAGCCTGGTGGCACTCTAAGCCGAGAGAAAACACGGAGCGTTTACAGACAGCGTGCAAGCCAGCCACGCTCACACAGACTGCTGCAGGGGAATAGCTGATGCCAGGCTGCCCGGCAGGGGGAGGCGAGACAGAGATGCCGGAGAAGAGCAGAGAGCAGAAAAGGGCACGGCCGTGCTGAGGACGTCAGGTGCACAGACGCACGCCCAAGAACACGGTCACTGAAAGAACAAACCACACAACTGCTTTCCTGTTCAAAGGGCTAAAGGCAGGCTCTAACACATAGGCGTGGAGAGGTGGTGCGTGTAAACGGGGCTCTTCAAAACGGGCAGGGACGGGAGCGACTCCTCCCAAACACTCTCTCAAATCAGAACAGAGCTGAGTGTGTGTCCACTCTGAAAAGTTAGGGTCCTTCTTTTACTTGTAAGGAAAGGATTTAAAAATCTGCTCATGACAGCTCAACACCCAATGAAGAACTTAGGACAGAGGCTGGTTTGGTTCTTGCCCTTCATCAGGAGAGAAAGAACACAATACAGGGGCCCGATACAGTACACTTCAGTCCTTCCAAGGAGGGCACATCCCTAACCACCCTGTGGCAGAAGGAAAAGCTACCCGGGTTATTAAGCAAACAACAGGAACAGGATCATTCTACTTATACAAAGAAATTCACCGTAGCAAAAATGTTATGTGAGATTTCTCACTACATCTGTTTATTGTAGAAATTGAGCTTGACAACAGAAGCCATTCTTATCAACTAGAGAGTAACTTTGGGCTGTATCTTTACAGTTTTTCATATTTTCCATAAAGGAGGTTATACGACCCCCTTCATAAAAGATACTCCTTTTCATGTGTTGTAAACATCGGATGGTATTTTTATGTCACAGAACTGTAACGGCTGCGTAACAGCTGTCTGTTTACCAAAGTTCACTGAACTAATCCTTTGTTAGGCTGTTTAAAATGTTCACCAGTCCAGGGTGTCCTGGCAATCACGTTTGTAAATACATGTATTCATACACAATAAATACTTTCATAAAATACACTTATAAAAATAAAATTCCTTGACCAGGATGGCAGCACAGACTACAAAAAACTGTTATAAATGGATAAGGAGGCAATGGGTAAGTAAATTATGGTACGTTTATAAGCTAACATATTATAAAACAATTTTAAGCTTGTTTTCAAATAAAAGGCTTACAAAATAATAGCCAAAGGAAGGACAGAAAGGTGCAGATGTGTGCAGATACTTATTTTTTTTCATTCTATTTTTAATGTTTATTTTTGGGAAAGAGAGTGCGAGCGGGGCAGGGGCAGAGACAGAGAGGGAGACACGGAATCCGAAGCAGGCTCCAGGCTCTGAGCAGTCAGACAGAGCCCGACATGGGGCTCGAACCCACGAACCGTAAGATCATGACCCGAGCCGAAGTCGGACACTTAAGCGACGGAGCCACCCAGGCGCCCCTCATTACTTTTAAATGTATAAATGAATACATCTACAACAGAAAGAGATCACAAGAGGATCCACGAAAATGTCATGAACAGTCAACTATTAACTGCAGATGAATGATTTTCATGTTTTTCCTCATTTTGCTGAGTTTTCGGTTTCGAGCATACGTTTTTATAAGAAACTAAGCTTTTTACGAAGACAGCTGCGTCTGGTTCCGAGCGTACCTGCTCGCGTACTTCTCCGAGGGGTCTCTGCTGCAGCTCCAGTGCCCCAGGCACCTTCTCACCACGAGAAGAGCAGCAGTGAACATACCGAGTGGGACCCTTACCTCCACCAAGTCAACGAACAGGGCCAGCATCAGCTGGCACAGAGAACTTAAAATAAGGCGCTGTAACTAAGGACTACGAACCAAGCACGGACTATGCTTGGACGCTCAAGAAGGTTCCGAGGAGGAACGAGCAGAAAGGAGCCGGCTGCACGAAAACCAGCAGGAAGGCCAGTCGAGGAAGAACAAACTGGCCCCAGTGCCCGGAGGGGAAGGAGGCGCGCGTTTTGCGCACAGGCCAGGTCGAGAGGGCAGGCGGCCGGGGCCGAAGGGGCTGTGTGAGCCAGAGGGAAGCGTGTGACATCTGGGATGAGAAGCCACCGGGGGCTCGGAAAGCTGGGCGGTAACGGGCTCGAAGTCGTACGTTCGGAACACGAGCCCGGCCGTGGGGAGAAGAGGGACAAGCCGGGGCAGCAGCAGAAAGGCCAACTCAGAGGCCACGCGGCATTTCTGCCGCGTGACAACTGCAGCCAGTGTCACACCACAGAAGCAGTGATGGGGAGAGGCAGGTACCCGCGGACTACTTCGGTCCAACGCAAACGGAACACGCCGACACTGAAGGCTGAGAAGGAAGCGAGGACAAGCAGTGACGGGCTCCTGCCGGAACGATACCACGGATGAGGGTACCACTTACTGACGGAGAAGGACGAGGAGGCTTAAGAGAGCCCAGCCCTGCTCTAGCCGTGGTGAGTGCGAAACACGTGTCAGACATCACCATGGCCACGTCAAGCAAGCTTCTGGGGTCCGGAGAGGTCGGGGCCAAGGATACAGTCAAGGGTAATGAACATATCCGTGTATTTTAACTACCAACTGCCTAAGATCACCTAGGGAACAAGTACAGACAGGAGAGAAGGGGCCTTGGGTCTGAAACCGAGTTTTGAGGCCAAGTGGAGGGGACGGGGAAGGAGGAGGCATGGGCAGATGAGCCAGAGGAGGACTGAGCACCGATGGGGGAGAAACCAGGAGAACGACACCCTGGGGGCCGAAGTCAGGCAGCGCCCCCAGTATGCAGTAGGGGCCCAGTTCAGACAGAGGAGACACAGGCCACGGACTCGGCCGTGCGGAGGCCATCAGAGACCGGGACACACACAGTCCCTCCGACAGCAGGAGCCAATGAGAGCCGAGGGGAGAAGACAGACTAACAGGGAGTGGACCGCAGATTATTTCCTCAAGAAATCGTGCTGGGAAGAGAAGCAGAAAGCTGGGCAAGGGCTGGAGCGCACGGTACAGTCGTTAGAACAGGAGACAGAGCAGCGTGTCCGCATGGCGGCTGCTGTGCCGTGGCCTCAACGAACCACAGCCTCGGC